ACAAATCAATTCTTCTGCACGCCCGCGTGCGAGGCAGTCATTCTTCCCCGCTGTAAGTTTATGTTGGTAGCATTGATTTTGAAGACGGTGCCGCATATGAATGCTTCTCTCCTGCACGACACTTCGAACAGACCTCGTGTCTGTGCTGACATCGCGTTCCTACAGGCCAAGATTTTGGCGCCGTGAGAACATCAGATGCTACTTCGTACGGGCCGTAACCCCCTTCCTCCACTTCTGTCTCCGCTAATATGTTTCCTCTTATAGCAAACATGTGTGCATGTTCTGTGATATAATCGTCATTCATCCTCTGCAAACGACGCCGGGTTTTTTTAAAAAAAAAACGTTATGCCGCTCTTACCTGGTTTCATGAAAATCCGTCATTTACTTACAGGATTATCACGCACCGTTTCTTGCAGAATGGCGAGTGCTGCCGCTCGGACGCTCAGTTTGTGAGTGTTAATGGCGTCTCATTTCACCAGCCATGTTAACGTCCCCTGCCATTAGCCTGCAGAGGGCAGTGGCTACAAGGCGCAGCCCCCTCGTTGTCTCTTGGCTGATATTAACGCTCGGCTGATTTTGGAACTGAACTGCAATTAGCTAATTAAAGGTAGCATACTTTCAAGGGGAGGGACTGCAGACTCTCCCTGCCTTCGCTCAGGGATCGCCAACATTCTCAAATGGGCCATGGTTTCCCAACTTACGATATTAAAAAAAACTGTTATCTGCATTTTTCAGAACATTGTGTCTGATGCTAGTCTGTCAACAGAAAGACTAGGCTACGGACTGGGCAAACTGGGTTCGATTCCTGGCAGGGGTAAGTTGTTTTTCTCTTAGCCGCCCCATCCAGCCTCCTCTCCACTCACCTCCATCTAGTGCCGAGGTCAACTCCACGCCCCAATACACCTGAATGACCTGCCGCTTAATTAAGCGCAGAGACAGTGTGCCCCCTGGGGCCTGCGGAGTTTCCTGGGATGAATCAGAAACGAGGAACAGAACTGACAGGCGTCGTGGCCACTGAAAAACGAACGTTGTGAACCCCTGGCGAAGTTGACGGAACGAAAATGTTTTTGTCGTCAAGTTTTAGAGTGTGAAGAAGAGAATGGAAAGAACGCATTAGTAATTAATTGAGAACCTTAGTTAGACGATGCCTGTGAGATGTCGAGGGCTCTCACGTCTTCTGGATGAAGTTCTAACTTCATTAAACCAATTACCCGCCTCTTTCCTTGCAGTTCTTCCTCAGTTTATACTTCAGTTGGCTGGAGGAAAACACGGTAATTATTCCGTTCGTAATCATTGTGATGATGCTTTGGCGCGCAGTACAAGTCAGAGCTCTGCAAACAAAGCGTGCGCCCCGCGGGCCGCAGTTGTCATTCGATTAAAAACAGACGGTACTGGCTCAGCGGCAGTGCGTGTGGTCCCCCACTCCAAGGTACACGGTTCGAACCTCAGACAGCAGCTGATTAAGCCGGGTCACACCAGCAAGACGCCCGGGTTCGCGCCCAGGACAGTCCATGTGGGATTTGCGGTGGACGGAGTGGCACTGGGACAGGTTTTTCTCGGGAGTCCTTAGGTCTTCCCCACTCAGCATCATTAAGCCCCTGCTCCATGTTCAGTCGCAGTCTCAGCCTGTCGTAATAATGACAATAATAACTGCGCGACCTGACTGAGGCCTTCCATTTGTTTGCTTAGATTCTGCTCCAGCTGCTTGAAAGTCACTCCACGGCGAGTTCCTGAGTCCTTCTGCCTCCTTTTACGGTGTCGACAAAATATAGTTTGTTTGTTTATGGCTAGTTTATCCAACGACGCTGACACATTAAATAAGGACACGTTCACAAACACGGGAACCGAAAATGTGTTTTCTTTAACCACAATGTGGGAGGTCAACGTGCACACTCACCTAAAGGAGGAGGAAAAATTATATTTTTGAATTTTTAAATTTCTGTGTTTTTAGGTAGACGACCTGAGGGCAATGCCGAACATTCCCGCGAATGTGACGTTCATTGCGAATCGCATTTTGATTCTATCCCGGAATCCTTTAATACTGTTGGTAATCCTGAGGACGTTGCGAAGGACACAGACTTTACGATCTGGGCGTGTAGGATGTGATGAAAGCCTGGAAGGTAAAAGCGGCTGGAGAAACGATTCCTAGCTGCGACCACAAACTAAAATGGAGTTAAATTGCCGTACAGTGTCCAGAGTATCCTGGGAATATGGAGCCGCGTCGCCTGATGTTTAGTCGCATTAGATTGCATTAAGAAATATGGGACTTCGCCCGCTGCCTCGTCGCCCCACGTTTCGTACGCGCCCTCCACCTCTTCATTCAGAGCGACAAATACGAGTTCCAAATATATTTTCGTGTGTCCTGAAGCCCCGATTTATGAGCTCGTTTTATTCAACCGGGTTGTGTAATTTTTCCGTTCCGAAGTGACCGGATGGAAGGAGCCTCACAGGGGGGCTGAGACAGACAAGGCAGCGTTTTGTAACCTCTACTTACTTTCATGAGTAAACGCAAGTAACAGATTACAAATCGGGGTGCGGTGGCCGTGGCTTTTCTCAGCATTTGCCTGGTGTAACTGCAGAAAACCACGTAAAATCTCAGTCAGAGTAGTCGGTATCCCTGTAAGTTTTGTATTCGGGAGGGGGGGGGGCC